TTTACAAATTCAAAATCACTTAAAAACTTTCATAAAAGAAAAAAAAGATACATATTTATTTATTTATGTTTGTTTTTTTTTTTTTTTTTTTTTTTTTAAAAAAAAAAAAAATTATTTGAGTTTTATCGATAAAAGGGATGAATAAATATGGATTTATTAATGTTTACATTTGTTATTGAAGGATATTTTTGGGTTGGTTCTAACATCCAGTCGCATGCTTCCTTTATTGAGATACTTGATTTGAAAATTGATTGATGATTTTTTTTTTTTTAATAAAAAAAAACAGGAAAATAGTTGCTATTGGCGTGAGAAGAAAAAATTTTTTATCTCCCAAAAATTCAAGAATGCGAGCCGAAGAACACAAGAATTTAAAATGCGAGTCACAACGAATTGATTGATATTGATATATACAAATTTCAAGAGAAATTATTCACATGTTAAAATACGAAGTAAACAAAGAAATGTTGAAAAATCATCTAATGCTCATATGATTCAGGTTGATAACGAGATTAATGTGGTAAGCTTTTTTCACTACTAATATGTAAGTGATCATGCAATTGTAAAACATCAATTTTATTATAAATTTCATATTTATTTATATACTTATTAACTAAGTATTTTTTTTATATTAAATATTTGTATAAAACTTTTTTTATTACAACCCTTTCCAACACGTCAAATAAAATTTTTTTGGATTTCCATTCGTTGCCAAAAAATATTTAAGAAAAGATTGTTCCTTTGGTTCTAGTAAAATAAAGAGTAATCCAAATCAATTTCTCAATATCATCGCTTAATTAAATAATTAATTTCTTAAATAGCTTACGTTGCATGATTGCTGTATCATAATAATAATCCATCATGGCTTTCGCTTCATCTTTTGTATACTCCTTTACGTCGAATCTTTGCAGTCCGGTTGTATACTGCCAAATTGTGTCCGAAACCGGCTTCCATGATGATGCTTCAGATAATCCAAGTGCAATTTCTAATGTTTTACTAATAAATGGTTTAAAATTATGCGATAAAGCCCCTATCGCTGCTCCATATGTCTATAGATAGGCAAACCAATTTTCAATAAAAAATGACAAAGTCAAAATTTTCAAACGCTAGTGAGATGGTCCTTACGAAATCTTTCTTTCCAGAAAAGTATTCCAAGATAGTTCGAGGAAGTGATAGTCTATTGACTTCTAACAAAGAATCATCAACATCACGATATTCAGAATTGGCATAAAATGCGTTGACTTCATCAACTGCAAGCAAAACTGGATATTCTGAATTATTTCCTATTTCTTCCAGGAATATTTCAAAAACGTCTTGCGCGGAATGAGGATCATTTATTCCTACATCCAGTAATTGAGACGCGGTCTTGTCTCCTTCGATTGCATGACGATGTATTTGGTGACTTCGTCTAAGTTTGATCTAATGTCAAAATTAATTATCACGTTTTTAAATATATTTATCATAATCAATTGGAACTTAATAATTAAATTTGATCTCGCATACATTTCTCAGATAACGTTCGTTTACACGTTTGATCTGCTGTAGAATCGATGCGGCCAACGTAGGTTGTACAAATTCATTCGTTGATTCCACCTTTATATATGGAAACGTACTATTTACAAATTGGATCGCTACCAAATTATTGTATGAATTAAAGAATACTGAAATTAAAAAAAAATTTAAAAATGATAATAATATATATATATAAATTCTTACCATGTGGAATATAGATCACGATCCATGGTTGACACATTGCATAATTAACAGCCTGCACAAGTAGCGCACTTTTGCCAACTCCTAACGATCCTGCTAATTTTAAAACATTCACATAAACGTCAAAAGATCTTAAAACGTCTCATTTAAAATTTAACATGAACTCACATAAAATAAATCTATTATTTGTACTAGGTGACGTGGATGCATCCTTAAGCAAACTTATTAATTCCACTGAAGATTGACGAACGACTAATGATGGGCGGTGAAATAACGCAAACTATAAAAATTATCTTTTTATAAATATGTAAATGACATAAAAACATAATTAACAAATAACTTATTTACCTCTTTAGATAACGATGTTGGGAATTTAAATACATTAAATTTTGGAATAACTTCTTCCGGAATTTGATAAACTTTACCAACATTTTCATGAGTGAAAACGTCCTATTTTAAGATTAGATAAATTCATGCCGTGTAACATTTTTACTTTAAAAATAAATCGATTAGATAATCTTACCGGAAGCATATCATTTAAAATAATAACAGGAGCAGCTTTGTAAAACTCTTCACTGCCCTGTTCAGAACTACTTGCACTTTTAATTTCTCCCTCCTAAGCATAAATTAATAATCGAACATGGAAAGATTATAAAAAATCACGCTTAAGTAATCTTTGAAAAAAAAAAAAAAAATGTCATTTTTACTTCTGATGACTCTTTCTTAGTTTTCTTTCGTTTAAATCCCAAACTTTTTCCTTGCTTTTCCTTCGGTTTTTTTACTATACAATAAAATAAAAATAAAATTAGATGCGATTAAGAAAAATTCAATTTGGATGATTCCTACATTTTGGTCTTGCTGTTCCAGTTCTTTTTTGTTGAATAATCAAACTTGATGAAATTAAGGGTGGTCGAATAGCACTTAGTATTGGAGGAATTAGAAAAGATCGTCTTGCATTCACTCTTGGGATAATTGAATTAATATTTGGTATGATTTTTGTATATAAAGATGACATAGTTCCGAGAAATAAAATATCTCGAGAAAGAGATTTTTGAAATCGTGAAAAAAAAAAATTCCGACTTTTTATAAATTTAGTTTGCTTAAATTGGATAGATCTGGTTAAAAAATTGCAGATAAACAAAAAAAAAAAAAAAGAAGATTTTCGTCGCCTGCAGGATTCGAACCTGCGCTCCCAAAGGGAAATGGCTTAGCAGGCCACCGCGTTAACCACTCCGCCAAAGCGACTAAATCATTATTAAAATTTGAGATAAAATTGTATTTATGATAAAATTTAATTCAATCTATTTTTTAATAAAAATGGAAATCAATAAAATTAAATAAACTTTGTTGAGTATAAGTAATTAAAAAGAAAAAAAAATATTATTATCTGAAAACACACGTCATTATAAACATGGGGTCATGAAAAAAATTATGAAAGTATCAGTAGTTAAATGAAATGATTAGAAAATGGCATAATAAAGTACAATGATCAAAAAAGCTTACATCTTTTTCTTATAAAAAGATACTAATTTCTTCGTTTATAAAATTTGTTGTTATTTATTGATTAATTGGTCTTTTAATAGATCAAAATGGGTAAAGTAAAGAAAAAACAGGACAAATCAACTAAAAAACCAAAACCCATCAACCAGTAATATTTTGTTGCTTTCATAATTGTTTAATTGTATAATTATAATCCATGTGCGTCAAATGGTCTTTTTTTTTTTCTTCCTTAGCCTACAACGAACTTATTTACCTCGCGCAGCAGAAGATCCTAACCGCAAGCATAAAATTGCAGAAAAGGTCATAGATCATAAAAGCGAAGAGCTAAACATTTGGTATTTAATCCGATTTAAAGGTAATGTATTCGTTTTTTTTTATAAATTATTATTCTCCATGAATTTCACATGACTATTTCACTTTGATATAGATATGACAAAACCACAGTGGCTTCCAGAAACTAGTATGTCTGGATGCAACCAACTTATCCAGGAATATTGGGCGATAAATAAAACAGATACAAATACTAATAATAATAATCAAGTTTCAAGATTCATGTCAAATTCCGAATGTGATAACCCACGATCTTTCAATAAATCTCGTACCGAATTTCATGATCGATCTAATAAATCAAAAGATTCTTCTTTGCAATCAAGTTCTCAATCTCGTTACGAATTTGTTGTTGATTCTCGCAATTCTGCTACATCTAGTAATACACAGAAGTGGAAACGTTCGAAACGTATTGAAAAGTCGCAAGATATAATTGCCAAGAATCCAACAAGAAATCCTGTACGTTATGAAAAAATTCGTCGAGATTTTCCTGTAGAAAAACCAATAGAAAGCAAAACTTCCAAAAATCAAATCGTTATTGGATCATGTAAGTAAATTACTTTAAAATAAACAATATAAATTTCAATATAAATAAGTAATCTATAAATTGTAATCTTTAATTCTATTTTGAAATAGGTCCTAATATTGCAACTTCTAAAGCACTCACAGTTACTGAACCTATATTAACGAAGTAATAAAAGTTTTTAATGATTCTTTTTAAATCAATATATTAAAAATTATATTTATAATTGTTGTCATTTCATTAAAAGAGGACAAAATAAAAGATCGAGATCGGAAGATGCGATGCATCAGCAACTAACGTCGGATATTGAAAGAGCTCAATCTCAATGTAAAGATTCCCTAAGGTTGACTCTTGACGAATTTTTTTCAGAAATAAGGACCGAAATGGGGATGCCACAAAAAGCACACATATTACCATCCATGCAATTTCATTCTGCAGATAATAATAATGGTGAGAAATAATAAATCACGAGAATTTTATTAATTTATTTTATATTTTTAATATTTGAAACATTGCTCTTTATCGTAGGAGAAATTCCGATCAAGTAAATACTTTTAAGAACCTCTAAAATATTTTTATTTTATTTTATTTTATTTTTTTTTTTGTATGTTTATATTTATATAATTTAAAAAATAAAATTAAGCTATATAAAATGGACGGGTAATATAATTAAAGGATCATTAGTCCTTTTCGTTGCTTCAGTAAATGTCACGCCATTTCCAGGGAGATGCAACAATATATCAACACTGTAAGCTATATTATTGATTACAATAATTGTTGTTAATTAATAATCTTTAATTATAAATATCTGAAATTAAATTTAATATCAAATTTTTAGGAAAAAAATTGCGGATGAAAATATATCAAAGCTTTGCATTCAACATTCTTTACCACTTTCATATGCATTAAACCTAGTTAAAGACAGGGACAAATGTCCGATGTTTGAAATAAAACCGTTGCAAATTGCAAAATCAAGACGCAACATTTTAGTGGAAAGAACAATAATGATGCGAAGTAAAATTGTAAGTTTTCTTATTTTTTTCTTTGTTTGTATTAAGAAGAGAAAAGGAATTTCGGAATCTGTTTTGCAGAGTCCGGATCACCGGACAATTCTTTTAATTTATTTATATCTACAGGCTGGAGTAATTTGGATCGAAGAATATAAATCAGCATGGATCATTTTTCCTTATCACGAAAAGATATGTAGCCTCTTGAAGTTGCCAGACAAGAAAGAATTGATGCTGTTCGCGGTCTCTATGTTTATACCATCGATATTTGATCCTTTACCATTAAAAATTGAGCCCAAAGAATCTATAATATTACCTAATGATAGCTTTTCAGTGAAAGAAATAATTCAAACCAAAGTCTTCCTTCATCATACTGAATATTATTCTGAATTACGAGAAATCTGTAGAGGTCGAATTCATTTCACATATTTTGGTAATAAAGAATTTCCAGAAGTTCAAGAATTGCTTTTGGTCATGGAAATTTTAGGAGCAATTTATGATGAAAATTATAGCGAGAATATTTCATTGGTTTTGGTAAGTAATTTATAATTTATATTTACTTCGAAATGATTTATTAATTATTTCATTTTTTAAATAGGTTCACGTTTTATTTTTGAAACAACTACTTTTCATGCGCAACTTGATGGATTTTAAAAGACTTCCGAATTGCAGATTTCTTTTATTTGGAACTGATTTAATAGGATCATATAAACCCATCCGTTTCAAAGAACACTTACCAAATGGTATATGTCATAAATATTTTGAATTTTGAAATTTCTCAAACCTTTATTTCTATTCAATATAGGAGGAATGATATCGGCGACCACGTTTACATTTCTACAGGAGGAGCAAGTCTCCAACAGGATCATAAATGTCATCGACTATGTAATATTCTGTCTAATCGATTATTCGCTTATTCCATAAATATCATTAATAATATTTTATTTTTATTTAGCAAGATGCTCCTTGGGATTATTTGTTATACATAAATGTCATGGATAATCTAGCGGACCTAGGTCAAAATCAAAACAATCAACGGTAAATAATGAAAATCGTTTTTAATTCTCAACGATTCAAATTGAATTGAATTAACCTAACATTTTCAAATTTTAGTGCATTTCAAGCTTGGCATGAGGCTATGGCAGCTATTGGAATGAAGAAGGCAAGATATATCAGGAGAGAAGAAATGTTCATGCCCGAAAAGGTTTATATAAATAATTACAGTTGGATTTATTTATCAATTCGATTTCTTAAAAAAAAAATGTATTATTATTTTCTAGGTTCCTGAGGAGCCTCCTTCGATGGTTTCTAGCTTAACTAGAACGATGTTAAGGATTCACACCATGTATGCTTCAGAACGACGACATTTTATATTAATTCGGCATCCAAAAGAGGAAGAATTTTCTAATGTGTCATTTCCGGGAGTAAGTATTTGATAGATTAAATTTTTTTTTTTTTTTGACTGACCACTTCTAACTTTGTTACAATCTAAGGTTTGGAAGATGTCACTTCAAGAATTCGAACAAAATTTCGGAACGACTATGTAAATAATGAATCTAAATGATTTAATCATTTTGGACGATAATTTTTGGTCATAATGATGCTATTGCATGGGAAAATCATAGAAAATGTAGGGGGCATTACTCATTAAATATACTGTATGATTATAATTAATTTGGTTACTCATAGAATTGCATATTCTTATACCCCTGTTATGACAAATTTCCTTTGTATATAAAAACTTTTTTGGGATTCCCGAAATAGTTAAAAAAAATTAAGTTAGTTCCGGAAAAAAGAATACCAATAAAGGTGTAAAAGCCAAGTAGAAACTAATAATAGGATAAAAAGATGCAATCATGAATTACCCCTGGAACAGATGTCCCATTTACAACCCAATTAACTCAAATAATCACGTGAATAAACAATCAAACCATATAAAAAGAATCATCATTAGTTGCATACTGTAACTATAAACTTCTTTTACAAATTTACGATAAAGGATAATAATGCCTACATTAGCAACTTATTCGTTAATAACTTTGTTATTCACTATTTCTTATACCTTTACTTTACTGTCTTTATTATTGCCAAATTGGTAAATAAAAAACTTTTGTAATATCGTTCGTTTTAATCATACGTGAAATTTCTTTAAAATTATTCTCTTTAGGTTACTTTTTTCAACCCCGAAACCATTTCGCACATATACCAACATTGGTTTATTTAAGGTAGACATGAATTTTTTACGATACCGATAGAAAATAATAACTAACTTTTTTCAAACCAAATTTTCATTACAGCGATGTTCTAATACGATATTTAATGATGAATGTCGGCCGTTTCCATCATCAGATTACAACGATTGTGAAGAGAAATTTTTTTGTGAAGAATGGGGATTAGCAGTAACAACGATGATATTAGCTGCGATATTAGGAGGTTTAACATGGTTAAACTTTGTTTTAATTTTATTAGGAGGAAGGTTAAGAAGAGAGAAAGCATGGAAAAATTCTTCAGGATTGCTTCTTTTACACGGTTAATATCTTGGGAATTTCTCTTTATTATTTATTTTTATTTTTAAATTATTATTAACCTAACTTGTCTTTGATCTTTTTTAGCATTATTTCAGTTTATTACAATCTTTTTAATTGCTCATATTTATACAACATCGGAAAAATTTTATTTTGGAGTCAAATATGATTATAGTTTTATATTTGCAAATATCTCAGCATGTCTTAGTGTTCTCTTATCCCTTACATTATTTACGAATGGATTGTTTTCACCACCCGAATATCATTCTTTTTAGAACGAATTATCGTTATTATATGAACATTATTTACGTTGTACGAATATGTATATGTATATTACAATAAAATTTCGAATATTCTTCCAATAAGTTTATCATTGCTTTTTATAAAATTGACGTACACGTTAAACACGTGATTAAATTTTTTAACCATAAAAAGAACGCTTCAACGTAGAGACGTGGAGGGGTGTAAATCACACAATGATTTGAGCGGTAAACTGGGGGGGTTTGAAATGGCCTAAAATCGAAACAAAAGTTTCTCGCATAAAGACGTCAGTATATGATATCATACGTTTTTGTAATTGCAAATTGAACGAAATAGAAGTCTAGTGGAATAGGATCAGGTAGATTTGGAGAGGATGCTTCCCATGATAATCGAAATTAATGATGCACTGACCTTGCCGAATATTTATTTGATTTCCTGCGTTCTGAATTAATAATCAATTTATGAGCATTAAATATTTTTAAATACATAAATAGAAAAGAAACCTAAATAATTCGATTTAACATAACTCTAAATGGAAATGAAATCCTCGTTCTTCTATCCTCTACATAGTAATGCCAAGCCTATAATGTTATAAAAATAATTAGATTGATATGCTGTATAAAATATTACTTACTGATATTATGATATAACATAATTAGTATTATTTACCATAACTTTATAATCTGTTATAACTTTTACAATCTTCCTATTGTTGAAATATAAAATTATAGATAGGTTCTAAAAAAAAATTTAATATATCAAATTAATATAAAATTTGTTTTGTATTAATTAATATAATAAATCAGTAATTTGAAATTTTTATTTATTATATATCCAAATTAACTATAAAAGAAATAATAAAAAGTAAATTATTAATACTAAAAATACATTATTTTAATAATAAAAAAATAAACTTTTTAAATAATAACAGAAGTATTTTAATGTAAAAAGATGCAAAATGTAAATTGGAAATCTTAAAAGTTCACCTTTATAATAAATATTTATTATATTTTAAAATTATTAGCAAATATTAATATAATAAACATTTTCTAAATTAATAAATTAAAAAAAGTTTAGGAAGATTCTATTGCATAATGATTATCAGTACAATATAATTTCATTGCTGATTGTTGATCAAGCCTAGTCTAATAATCAAATTTAGATTTTAGCAATCATATAAGGTAACTTCATATTATAGACTCTATAAAGAGAAACAGTTATTAATACTTAATTGTAGAATGGTAATAATAAAAATCAAGAAATCCATTTCCTTATACTCATTCTTGATTAAATCTACAATAATTAGTATTAAATAAATCAAAGTCTGAATATTTTGGCTAAAAAACTCAATACTGACCCCAATATATATAAAATAAAAATAATATCAATGCTAATTAAGTTTAAAATTGACCTAAAGATCTTTTATTTACATTAAGTTCTTGTCTCGTAAAAAATATAGTTATAAAATTTTGATTTATAAAAATTTATATAGTAATTATCTAAAGAATAAAATGAAAAGATACATTCTGTGAGATTACTAGATACTCTTATATTAGTGGAAGTTTACTTAGATAACTTATTTGACTATAAATACAAACAAAGCAGTGTTTTATATCTAATTGCTAAAACTATATTTTGATCTTCCAATTATGATTCAGAGCTCATTTTACTACAGGAAAATAATTGTCATCTTTAAAAACTAAAACAAATATACCAGGATTCTTAGTCTAGATAATATTTACTATAAAAGTATCTAGTTCTATATCAATGTTCTTTTCTTTATTTTTTCTATATTTCAATCAAACATAACCACATTATGACCTTAACTTTTAATCTAATCTTATAATAAATTGTTTAGTATTTAAAATTGCAAGTATTAAATTATTTAAAATATCTATTAATGTTTGATATTCAATATCTTTACAAAGTGATCCAAATTTATAAATTATTTTTATAGCAATTTTAATCTATGCTGAATTTACTAATTAAAAACAAATTAATTTTTTTAATATTTAGGTTTTTTATTAATATTTTATTTTTACTAAAATTGATTTAAATAATTTTTTAAAAAAATTTCAATGAATTATTATCCCTTAAACTGTAAGTATAAAATTATTTTTATTCTTTATTTAATTAATAAATTTTCTAAATTTATATATATTTAAATTATTTTTATTACAATCTTTAATTTTATAAAAACTATTATTTGTACTTATTTTATAGATTTATTTGATATATACTTTTTTATTTTAATTTAAAGTCAAAAAATTTAATTAAAATAATACTTTTAATAACTAAACGTTAAAAAAACTAGCCTTTCTATTTTTGATAAATAATATGACAATCAATTTTGTATTAATTACAATTAAAAATTATATAATATTTTAAAAATAATCATCACAAAATTTAACTAATAAAATTATAAAAAAGTTAAATGATTATGCATAATTATAATTTTAGTTATACATAATAAATAAGTACTTTAAATTAAAAATATATAAGATAATTTTGACTTAAAATTTGACTTAATTTGATTTATTAGTAAAACTATCATATAAACCTATTTTTTAAAAAATCTTACTAATTATTTATTAATTTAATAAAAAATATGTTATAACCTAATAATTATGTCATTAATTGATTATAATATAAAATATGTAACAAAATATTTTTATAATAGAAACAAATTTCTTTTCAAATACAGAGGATGAACAAAAGTATCTGCACACTTTTTCACTTAATATAAAACTTCAAATAAT